CCCGTTCAAATTATGGTAGTAATGAGTGGCGTAATGCGTTGAGTAAATACAGTGATCGTTCACATGATAGCAGTCATGAGTGGAAAGATACACAAGCAACTGGTGATGATCTAGCGTCGCATAACGACCATGCGTGGCGTCGTGCAGCAATTCAAGATCGACATACAGCATATGACGCTTCGAGAGCACAAAATGATGCCCAGTCGTTTCAAGAATTAAGACAGAAAACTTTCGATTTCTATACAAATAATCGTCAATTTATTGACTTTACAGGTGAAAAATTCATAGTTAAACCAGTTAAAGCCTATAAATTGAATTTGGCTACATTTCAAGAGAATACAAAATTTGTACACAAGAGTATCGTTGTATCACGTGTCGGCTCGATACATACCGTACCGATTCGGATTTAGTCATCATCATCAGATGCTGTACTAACAGCAGTACCAGTTACCGATGAATATAGCAATGTGTTTGAATCAAAATTACGTGAACTGTCGACAGAACTTAAATCTTCAATAACAACAATTAAAAATAATGAAGAAAACTTAAAAAGCTCTGAATATTTAAATGATGTTATAAACACCGCTTGTATTCTTAATTAACTTTCAATTAGTAATTGTAGCATAACCGTAAAAGAATTCTTTTATAATGTGCACCATTATAATCGGCTCAATAGCCTTCCTACAATCATGAATGAGCATAAATCATATTTTTCCAAAATCGACAGAAAGGAAATACTGGTAAGGTTTACAGTCGTCCGTGTATCTTTTATTTTGTCTAAATGTTCTTTCCAACGGAAAAAAGTATAACTTTCACTTTTTTGCAATGTCTTATCAGCTTTAAACAAAGAAAGTACATAAACAGAACTAAAAAAAGATAGAATTAATTAGTAGAGAAAAAACAACAGATGATGGAATCAAAAACTTTTACGGCAAATGCCAGGCTGCTCTAAAGCTAGGTGAGACTGATGATGAACTAAAGACTGTGTAGAAAATTGCGCAAAGCTTGTTTAAACTGTATTAGACTGCGCTTTTAACTACTTTCTCAGGTAGCGCATTCCGTTTAGAAGAAGGTAGACATGTACCATGAAAGAAGCGTTCTACGAAGTTGTGCCTAGAGATAAAAGTGTAGAGAAATTAATTCTGAATGCTTTTGTCTCTAGACACGATTTAAAAAACACCACCTTCTTTGTGCAAAATGCAAATTCAAAATTTTGGAAAATCCATTTCTTTTAGTTTTGCATTTTTCATAAGAAGGAAAAGGGTTTTCCAGAGTTGCGCCAAAAGACAAAAGTCCTCATAATTTAATCCTCTACATTTTTGTCTCTTGATACTTCACACGACACTTTTTTCACGTTGAGAAAGATAAAGTTTTGTTTTTCCCTAGGAAAAACGACATCTGTATAGATTAGTAGTCGACCGTTACCAGTTACCGTTACTGTAACAGTAACGTATTACACTGGATCGAAATATTTTCTGTTCAGAAATACGTCATACTTACATTAACCGATGCCGGTTTTCATATTGATTCGGAGCGAAATTTGGAATAAATTTTCTATACCAATTGATTTTACCAATAAATTCATTAGCTTCTTTTAAAGTAGCTGATGGAGGTAAGATGCACCCAGGGCAGCCTTGCAGTGAAATTTATTTTTCGACGCTTCATACACCATTCGATAGAGAATTTCGCGGTGATCACGAATATCACTTCCAAGGCTCTCAGAACCCTTTCCTCACTGAGATATTTGCAAAATAC